GGGCTTCGGGGAAACATTGGGGGTCTAGACAGACCCCTGACATTTCCCTTTTAAAATAGAAAAGAAACTGAGCACACCAAATCCTCAATTTCCTTTTCTGCAGCCTCAGCGCTCAATGAATGGCTTCCCATTCATTCAGAAACTGGTGAGAGTAAAATATTTTACTCTCACCAGTTTATGAATGGGGAGGAGCCTTTGCAGTGAGCGCTACACCCCATTCAGAAATTTATGAATGAACAGGAAGTGATGTAAATCACATCCTGCTCATTCATAACTGGGGACACATAGCACTATGTGTCCCCAGTTATTTACAAACATTGGAGTGATCAGACGATCACTCCAGTGTTTGTTCCGCACACACAGAGGATCGGTAAATGTCACAGATATTTACTGATCCTCCGCTCGGCCACGCACACAGCCGCTGTCATCCTGAAACTGACAAGATGACAGCGGCTGCTCTCTCTTCGCCGCTCGGCCATCCTGAAAGCTGCGGTTTCTCTCCTCCCCGCTCAGCCGTCCTGACAGCAGGCAGCGCTCCCTCCTGCGCCCACCCTCCCCCAGACTTCAGCAGACAGTTTCTTCTTGTAACCGAGGACATCGCTGAAGCGGGCGGGGGTATTAGGAGGAGGAAGCGTTGTCATGTCGGATGGCCAGCAGCGAGGAGGAGAGAAGCCACCCCGAGGACGAGCTGTGTTGGCCGCCTGGCGCCTTTATTGACATGGCGCCGTGTGCGGCCGCACAGCTCGAACACCCCAAAGGCCGGCCCTGTAAACAGGGTACCAATAAACAGGCGATTTGCTACTTACAGATTAGAATCCCCAACACACTGTGCAAACTACGAGCTGTATTTTTAAACAATTCGTAGAGCCATTTGCACTGCAAAATTGTATATACATTCAGGTGCACATGGAGGAAAAAAATGAATGTTATTAGTAGGGATGCACCGATACTAGTATCGGTATTGGTGTCGATGCCGAGTATTTGGACGAGTACTCGTAGTCGCCCAAATGCTCAGATACCTTCGCCGACACCGGAACTTCTGATCAGAGGAAGATTTCCTCTGACCTGCAGTGCCGTAGGGGAACCTGGAGCCGGCTTAACGTGCGATCAGGTTATGGCCACTAGATGGAGCTGGCGAGCATAGGACATGCATTCTTCTTTCCTTTGCTTCTCAGCTCCATCTAGTGGCCACAATGGGGTATTTTCCTTACATATGACCTGGAAAGAAAATATTAGGGATGCGCTGATACCGATACTAGTATTGGTATCGATGCTGTGCCAAGTATTTGGGCGAGTACTTGCCCAAATGCGCAGATGCCTAGCCCAATACTTCCTGTATCAGAAAGCCGGGCAGCGTTAAATGACGTGCTGCCCGGCTTCCTGATTGGTCGGGAAGCCGGCTTCATGCTCCCTCCTCACCTCATAACTAGGGAGCATGGAGCTGGCTTCCTGGCCAATCAGGAAGCCGGGCGCCGCATCATTATACGGCGCCCAGCTTCCTGATTGGCCAGAAAGCCGGCTCCATGCTCTCTCGTCACATAGTGACGAGAAGCATGGAGACGGCTTCCCTGCTAATCGGAAAGCTGGGTGGCGGGTCTTTACACATCGCCTGGATTTCTGAATGGGACTTTCGGTACTCTGTATTCAGTATCGGCGAGTACCAAAAAAATAATACTGGTGCTTGTACATGATATCGAAAAATCGGTATTGCTGCATCCCTGGTTCTTAGCATATCTTCTTCCCAGATCTAATGTAATTTCAGGTGAATGCCACATTATGGCCACTAGTTGGAGCTAATGAGCATGGGAAAGAAGTCATTATTTCCTGTGCTCCTTAGCTCCATCTAGTGGCTACAATGAACATTCAACGACTCTGCCCCTATGTGTTATGGATTAACACTATAATTCATATTTTTGGTGAAATAAGTCACATTTTAATAAATTGGAAAAAACTATAAATAAAAATTACTGAAAGCCATTTAAACGTTAATTTTACCATGATGAGAACTTACATGTGGTCACGTTGATACGTGTGATATTAGTATCTCCAGTGCCCAGAGACAAGGGTAATGACAGTTCTTTGGTTAGGTAATCTTTTATCAGGACAGCCAGCGCGGGGTCAGGAATGCTGATCTCCACATCCAGAATATACTCTGACACTGGCACTGGAAAGAAAGAAGATGGACACGGTACAATTAACATCGTATTTATAAGATCTTCACATCTTGCAAAACGTATCTAAACCCCAAACCAAAAGTGTCATATTCTGCAGCTCACCCATCCTTAGTCTGCATTTGTTTACAGTTTTTAGTCTTTTTTCCTTTATTTTCACCTTGCAAGCTTGCAAACACTTTTTGTCCCTCGGGGTGGCTACACACACTCCTTCACTGTATCCATGGAGGGACCCATGGTGGTCACTCAGGCTGGACTTCAACCATGCCTGCCTTTGTTCATCTCCATTATATGGGGATTGACAGGGCCGGATTTACTTTCTCTGCTGCTCCAAGGCCAAGTTGCTCAATATGCCCCCCTACTCGCCAAACACCCCCTCCCCAATGGTGAATGGCAGACCTGCAGGATGCATAGAAGTGATCTCGGCAACATCATCGTTGGAGGGCTGACACCAAAATGTCATGGATTGAGAGTAGGGCTGGATTTACTCTCTCTGCTGCCCCAAGGCCAGGTTCCTCAATGCGCCCCCCTACCCACATGGAGAATGGCAGACCTGCAGGCTGCATACAAGTGATCTCGGCGAAACCACCAAGATCACTTGTACAAAACAAGCGGAGGCTTCCCCGCTGTACATTTAGCTTTTGCATGCACAAAGCAGGGCTAAATGTAGAAAACAACTGCCCACCCGGCGCCCGGAACTGCATATCCCTAGAGTTGGGAGATAGGAGTTCCACACCCCTGCTGCCCCTCTACTCCCTGCTGCCCCAAGGCCGGACCTTGGTTGGCCTTGTGGGAAATCCGGCTCTATGGATTGATGGGGTTAGTCATATACAGAAGACACATTATAGTTCCAGTTTAGCTCACAGGGAGCGACAAGGACACAGCATTTTTGGCAGGACCAACATGTATTTTCTGTTCATGCTGAAAATGTATTTAGCCTGGAAAAAAAACTAATGCGGCCACCACATCTAAGGACTGGAAAGCTGCAAAAATATTACATTTTTGCTCTTTGGTTTAGTTGTTTTTTTAAGGTTTACTGACATCTACAGAAATAATTTATCAGGCAGAAAAAGAGAGCTCTACATTTATGTCTTTATAAAATGTTTTTTATGCTCTATAGAAGTATCTTCCTTGCCAAGGATAAGCATGCACTTCTCAAAAAGACCTTTAGGTGGTGCTGTCTACTGAGGAAAGACTACAGTATACTTTTTCCAGACTTCGAGGAATTGTCAAATCTGACTGTTAAAGTCCAAAACATTCAAAAAAGAGAAAAGACAGATATGAAAAATATTAGACATGTGCAATTTCATTTTGTTCAGAATCAAAATTCGGATGGATTTCCCGAAATTCGGACACATCCGAATTTTCGAATTGCATTAAGGTGCTCCCGAATGCCATTCGGGTCTGGGAGCCATATACATATTGTATATTACTAAAGCTGAGGCTCCCAGACCCGAATGGCATTCAGGAGCTCCCGAATACAATTCAGAAATTCGGATCCTGAATGCCATTCGGGTCTAGGAGATTCAGCTGTAGTATTAATATCTGTATATGGTTTTCTGTGGTAGTCGTAACGAATATTCGTAAACGCATCCAAAACTAACGAAAATTCATATTTTCAGAATCAGTAAGATTAATCAGATACGTAATGGCCATGTTCCCCTAGAACTGATATATCAAACTTGGGAGGAAGTTAGCAGGTCGAGTTCCTCCTCTGGCACCCCAGTAGCACAGTTTCCAGGCCCCAGTTCCATTTCCATTAGCAAACTGCGGCCATTAGCAGATGTCTCATCCAATGCCGGGACAAGGTCCTTTTTAGTTCCCAAGGCAAAAAGGCCAAAGTGTGCCCCCTTTGCTGCACCTCCCCCTTCTATTGAAGCACCATAGATGTCCCTTCTGCTTATCCCTCGGCATAGCCCCGGACTTACCCTCCATGTTTGATTTTGAATCCAGTTTACAACATGGAATATGCAGCAGGAGAAGTGGGCCTCCATAGCGGGGGTCAGAAATTCTGCCAAGGAGCTCTAACTTCGGGAGTCCCCAATTGTAAAAAGGCAACTGATGTTTTTGAGCAGTCTGACCCTCTAATGGTATGGAAAACGGCAAGCATCCCATTCTTCACTCAGCTATCTGATACAAGGCTTCATATTTATGTCTCAGGATTATAAGGGAGAGGTTGTACCAGCTCTGTTATCTGTTTCCAGACCAGATTCCAGCTGCAGCCTGAGCCAACTATGGCCAGGAGGGCTCGTACACACAACACCAATCAAGTGGTCACTATGGATACCAAACCATTTAGATTTATGAATAATAGTCATTCTTACTCAGCTGACAAAATAAATATCTGAATAAAAGCCAAGATCTGATCCAAAGGGAGGGCCTCTGGGCAACGGCAAAATATGTGTGAGATTGCAATTTTTAAAGATAAATGGCATAACAGCCCATTAGCTTATTTTCTGTGTGTTTCCCGTAGATGGTTGCCTGGAATGCCCTCTAACCAGTTCCCATAATAAGTGAGGATCCAGTTTCATTGCACCCCTAGAGGGCACAACCAAATGCAAGTCACTGTCACTGAACCCCATGGCAAGAGCAATCCTGGCAAGCTGCACCCCCCCAAAAAAAACAAAGGTTATCAAAATTAGCAGAAAGCTTTACCAGACGGGTTATGGTGAAGAGGTCTATAGGAAGGAACCAAAAAGCCTCCTCAGAAATAATCTGCAGCACAATAGAGCCTTCTTAAAACCAAGGTACCTGCTTCACAAATCCCAAAATAAGGCGTTCATACTTAATTTAGGCATCGTATAGATATTTCCATCAAATGCCAAAATAGAATACATCCAAGTGTAGGGTGCTGGAGCAACTGGTGGATGGCACCACAGAAAATAGAAGGAAATACGTTGCCAGCACACTTCAATCTTCTGTAATCAAACCACCTTTATCTGCAGGTCATACAGAAAAGTTAAATCTGCTAGAACCACCAGGAGTCCCTTCATCAGGAAGAGTGACATAAAAAATACAAATAACCCCAACATCAATGAGAAATCAAAACTTGGCATCACCATGAAGTCATCATGACGGTATATTTGTACTTCCCAACTTTCTGAGACAGAGGGACACAATGTACTTGGGTAACTTACAACCGATGAGGGAAGAACCAAAGACTACTGGCAAAAGGGTATGCATACATATTTTTTTTGGGGGGTGTGCTCCATATGGAGAGGCAGACTTGATGGACCACTTGGTCTTTTTCTGCCATCACTCTTTCGTCTTTCTACATTTTGTTAAACCGTTCCATGTTTTAATTTGTATCTCCAATTGTTAATTTGTTGTGTTCTTTAATGTTCAATGGGACTTCAGACTGCGTACATTTCAACAAAGACTAGAAAACAGGGAAGTTCTAAAACCTTTGCCTGGTAGTGTATGTCTTGCCAAGTGGTATTAGCATCAGGCACATGATCATTGATAAATTTGTTGTGTCTCCACGCCGGCCTGAGAAGATAATTACACCACAAGCATGTGACCGAGACGGCAGGAAAGATTACCGTGTTTTCAGTGGTTAAGGTGTGACTAACCTGTTTGTTTGCTGATCCAGATACCCACAAGCCATTGTTATTTCATCTTTTTTCGCTGATCCTCCTAGATTAATACAACTACAAAGCGCTGGACTCCTGCTGAATATAGGGCATCTCATCTAATGTTCACACATCTATTTAGCTGTTTTACTTTATATAGTACACAATAGCTATTAGGATCACACTACATTTGGATCATACCTTTCTAACCCCAGTTGACTTTGAAAGCACTTTGAGATTTGCTGCTTTGTTGATTGTTAAAGCAAAAGATGATTCTGCTTGTATTTTTCCCTTCCCTGGTCCCCTATACCCCCTCATCAGCATGGTAGTGACATTATTAAATAAAACGTTTCCGCTTTCATTACATACCTTATTTTAGACCCCGTACATGAAGGGTGGGGATAAGGGTCAGGAGGGCAAAAAAAGTTTAATAGGGAGCTGAGATCAGGAACATGGTGACATGACCTCAAACTAGCAGGAGGAAAGCTACTAAATAACTTTAGAAAGGATTCCTGTTTTTTGCGTAATTGATGCTTGGAACAGACTTCCAGCAGATGTGGTGAGCCGGTCAACATTCAGGGCCCATTCACACTCTGTGCAGTGAAGGGCGTTTTTCCTTACTTGGTCAACACCGGTCACTGCAAGGGCACATAGAAGACAATTGTGACCCCCTGCAACCCATCTGAAGCATGAAAAACATGTAGATCAGGGAAGCCAGAGAAAAGTGAGAAGTGCTTAACTTGTTCCGGGTCAGTTACTCAAAGCACTGTGTCCATTGAATCAGCATGACAGCCAGACATATAGGGGGTTATTCACTCGGCTGCCGAAGGCTATTCACTTCGGCACCCTATGGCTGATTTCAGCCGTACATCGGCTGACTTTGGCTGACTTCGGTTCAGCCAAACATGCTCAGCATGTTCGGCTGAGCCAAAGTAAAGAACACGTTCGACTTACCAATCCAACATCTAGATCAGCTGAGCTGAACCTCTGGCAGTTCACTCGCTGCCGTTCGCCCTATTGTCATAGGGACCGAATGGCAGTAAGTGAATATACGATATACGAATAAAAAAATGACATGTAAAGAAAGTAAAATATTAAAATACAGTGTGGGGCCCCCCTCCCAAACCATACCAGACCCTTTAGATCTGGTGGGAAAGTTAGGAGGGATCCCATCCTCCCAATAAATGAGGGATCCCCCTAAAATTCCCAACCAGACCCTTGATCCAAGCACAGTCCTGGCAGGGCAGGAAAGGGGGGGACGAGTGAGTGCACCTCCTGCCATACCAGGCCACATGCCCTCGGCACTGGGAGGGTGCTTTTCCAGGGGTCCCCCTTGGAAGAGCACCTTGTTCCCTGTGCCAATGGGGACAAAGGCCTCTTACCCACAAGCCCTGGGGCATTGGTTGTGGGGGTCTGTGGGCAGGGGTGCTTATTTGCATTAGGGTACCCCTTTAATTTGGGTAATTGCAAGGGGTACCCCTTTAATTTGGGTAATTGCAAGGGGTACCCCTTTAATTTGGGTAACCCAGATGTTGCCCCCTCCTTGTGAATGAGTAAGGGGTTCTTGTGCCCCTACTCATTCACTAAAGGGTTAACAGTAAAGTAAAAATAAACACACCAGACCTTTGAAAAAAATCCTTTAAGTGAAAGAAAAAAATCACAACAAAAATGTATGACAATTCCTTTATTAATTTAAAAAAAATCAAAAAATTGATCCAACTTCGTAATCCTAAGGTCAATCAAGACGTCCAGCGTTGCCCACGAGGAGGACGACTCGTTGAAATAAAAAACCCCGACACCCGCCGACCCGACCGAACGTGACGAACTCCGTCGCAAAATGAAGATTCTGACAGATGCCAGTAAAATATAACCAATTGGGCGGAGGTAGCGATGACATCACCGCTATCTCCACTCAACTGTTTACATTCGTCCGGCACCTGTCAAAGTCTTTTCGCAGGTCCCAGACAAATCAAACCAAATGGGTGGAGTCGGTGTACTTGTTCAACACTGGTCACTGCAGGGGCACATAGAAAACAACTGTGACTCCCTGCAACCCACCTGAAGGCTGAGGAACATAGTAGAGCATAGTGACTATGTATGGTAATTTTCTAGTTGCTCATTTGATGACACTTGCCTATACAATTGGTCATATCATGGATTTGGTGGCAATTGTTCTGAGGAAGCGGTCACAGTTTTGACCATCCTGCAGGCATTGGTATACTATGATAGACTTCCTACTGGACCTCAGACAGTCAGTCCTCCACTTCATCCCTGAGTGACCTTCTTGACTCTACAGAGTAGCACCATAAACTATGCAGAGTTTTGGAACAGCAGTAAATTCACCCCGAAATTAAACATCTCACACTTGAGGCTTGCAAGCTCATGATTAAGATGTTCTCCTTGTCAACCCTGCGGAGATGAATCTGTGTTTTTGCTCGGTTTAGTTTAGAGGAGTGTAAACTGACAAGCTTGTTTAATGAGTGTGCTATGCCCTCTTCTCATGCCAGGTGGTCAGGCTGTTGTTAGTAACACTTTAAACACTTTAAATCCTCAGATCTCACTGTATCATCGGATTCTGAACAATTTTTCAATGGAATGATATCCTGTTGCTGTAAAATGTCAAAGCAAACAGTAAGGCTGCATAGTGCCATAGTGGTTGGCAATCTGCAACACCTCAGCAGTAAAGAAACTGGCTGTCCCCGCATTCTTGGCCAAGGCTGTGACTCATATACCTCAAGGCTGTCCCAATTTTGGAAACATAAATTCAATTTTGAAATTACATGGGACCAATGTGGCCTTAGACTAGACCTGGGCACTCTAGCTGTGGTGGAACTACAAGTCCCATGAGGCATTGCAAAACTCTAACAGCCACAGGTATGGCTCCCAAAGGTCAGAATAATGATGGGATTTGCAGTTTCACCACAGTTGGAGTGCCGAGGTTGCCTACCCCTGCCTTAGACAGTTTCCAGGCAGAAATAAAAGGAAAAAATGTTCACATGTACAATAGAGATACATCCAGTAGACCTGTTCTCCTGTTATTCTGTACCATAGGCTGGCAATACATGGATTGAATTTCCTGCTGAATCAGTGGAAATGCGATCTACTGGTGGCCCTCTCAGCAATTTTCAATTGACTTTTGTAGAAAGAACCGGGTGGAAAATTGTCGGCCAAACAGTGACTGCAGTCACCGGCAGGGTAGATTCCTTCATCAATGCTCTTTGGGGGGAATCCTGCAGTGTATGGTCAGCTTTACTCTCCCCCCCCCCAACAAACAAACAAAGTGGTGACAATAGCTACAACTCGTCAAGATAGTGACACCTCAAGGCTGGTCCAATTTTGGCAAGACACATTCTTTTAAATTACATTGGACCACCTGATTGGCCCTCCTCAGCCTGTGACATTCACATCTACTGGAGCCTCTCTTTTTCGCTTGTGTATTCTGAACTGGAAAAAACGACAGCAGACTTCTACAGTGTAAGAACTCTTTGAAAAGTATTGTGTAAAAGTCCTGTTGCACAGGCTTGTTTTTTACTCTATGCCTAAAGGAAATTTTTGCCCATGTGAATGGTGAATTATGTGCACGCCATAGTTACAATATAATTGGCACATTTTGCATGACTTGGCACAGTGAGCATATATAGGCAATCTGGTCCTTATTCATGAGATGTGAGTCCTGCACATGGGCCTATTCTGCATATCAGTTCTCATCCCGTCCATCATTCAATCCATCATCATCTATCATGCATGATGCATGTTACCCCCAGGGGGTACCACCTGAAAGACGGTTCTCTCCTCTGACTTATGGAAGGAGCAACCTTAGACTAGAGTCTAGACCAGTGGTTCTCAACCCGTGTAACCTCGGGACCCACATGTTTCCTTGGTCATTAAGGAATGAAGAAGCTGATTGGTTGCTAATTGTAGCTGTTTGCTAAGAGTTCTCTAGATCAGTCTTTCTCAACCAGGGTGCTGTGGCACAGTGGGGTGCCTTCTGGCTTCCTCAGGGGTGCCTTGAAATTTTTGCACAGCATCATTCCTTAGGCTGGCCAACAGCACCAAATAAAAGAATGACAATAATCCAAGGACGGTGGGATGCATTCAGAAAGGGTTTGGCTCTGTCCAGGCCTGCTTCACCTCCTGTCCTCTGCCATGCTGCCACAGCTATGGTTCCTGATGTGATGGTAGGACTCTGATGACCTGGCCAGGACAGAGGCAAACTTTCATCCCCATCTGAATGGATCCCATCGTCCATGGATTAGTGTCATTCATTTCTGTGGTGCTGTTGGCCACCCTAAAGCATGACACAAGCCAGACCACCCTGGTTAAGAAAGGCTGATCTAGAGAGCCCTGATGTAAAGGGGGAACTCTAATGTGAAAGGGGGGTTCTGATGTGAAGCGGGTGTTTGATGTGAAAAGGGACTTATGATGTGATGGGGGACTCTTATGGGAAAGGAGTAGGCTCTGATGTGAAAGGGGGCCCCTAGTGTGAGAGGGGGGAGAAGAGGGGCTCCAAAGGTGAGAGGGGGTTGTGGACTCTAATATGAAAGGGGGATCTGATGTGAAGCAAGTTTTAGATGTGAAAGGGGCACCTTAAGTGGAGGGGGGGCTTGTGATGTGAAAGGAGGGCTCCTAGTGTGAGTGGGGCTCTGATGTGAGGGGGGCTTCTAGTGTGAGAGGGAGGGAAACTGATGTGAAAAATGAGATTCTGATGTTAAAAGAGGGGCTGTGATGTTTTGCGTGGGATTAGGATCTAGTATGGCATTTTGGAGGGGCCACACATCTTTCATAACATTTACATTTTGCACATTTTAGACTGGGGTGTCTGGAGATTTTGCATACCTTTAAAGGGAAAAAAAGGTTGAGAAATGCTGCTCTAGATCAAATGTTTCCAGATAACTGGTCTTATAATTGTATCATATTTTAAATAATTTAAACAAACGTAGGTCATGACTGTTTCTAAAAGCTCTCAAAGATTTGTTCTAATTTGAAAAGAATATGCCTCTAAGTTCCAGAGAGATGTGGAGTTAGAATTTCCATCATAGCCAAGTAAGCTTAGAAAACTAGGAAGACGAGTCTTCTTCACTTCTTCTTTTTCTTCTGCTCTTCTTCAGTTGTGCCTTTCAGTGGCATGTTGTAATGGCAGGGTGGGAACAGGTACATGGTTCTTTAATTGGGCTGCATATTAGGTGCTCTCCCATTACTAGAGAATTAGCTTAATAGGATATAATTGCTGGATTTAGTTATTTTCTACTGTGTGTCATTTTAAAATACCATCATAATGACCTTTAATTTTCCAGCAGAAACCCAAAGAGAAAATCACAGCCAGTCCAAAACCAGAAGGTATAAGAAAGGTAATCAAAGAGCTGCAACCTACCACACAGCAGAGGATGAAATGCTGAAATAAATCTTCCCACAAACCCCCTATGCTGGTCTTCAAACAACCCCCCAATGCTGACATTCAAGCAATCCCCCAAAGCTGGCCTTCAAGCAACCCCCCTTATGCTGGTCTTCAAGGAATCCCCCCCTCCCCCCCATGCTGGCCTTCAAGCAAGCTCCCCAATGCTTGCCTTCAAGCAACCTCCCCCGATGTTGGTCTTTACGCAGCCCCGCAATGCTGGTCTTCAAGCAACCTCTCCAATGC